TCGTGGTTTGAAATCCTCGCCGGCGGAGCCGCCCCAGTCGCCGCCCGACGGTCGCCGGACGGGCCAGCAAGGCGCGGGGAGCGGAGGGGAAGCGCAGGGGAAGGAGCGGAAAGGAGGGGAAAGGAGAAGGGAAAGGGGAAAGAAAGGAGAAGGGGTGTCTCTCTCTGTCTGTCTCTCTCTGTCTCTCGAGGGGGAGGGCGAGCGCAGGCGGAGGATGAGCGCGGCAGCGGTGCCCGGCCGGGGGGGCTCTCGCCCCGGGGAGATCGGGGGCGTGCGGGCCACCCCCGCCCCGTCTTCCTCTTCTTCCTCGACGGCGGCGCCTCCTCTTCCTCCTCCTTCCTCCTCGTCCTCCTCGTCGTCGAAGGAGAGCAAGGCCATCCCGGAGGTGCTGGTGGACCCTCGGAGCCGCCGCCGGTACTGGCTGGGCCGCTTCCTGGGCAAAGGCGGCTTCGCCCGGTGCTACGAGATCACGGACGCCGAGAGCAAGGAGGTCTTCGCGGGCAAGATCGTGCCCAAGGCGCTCCTCCTGAAGGCGCCCCAGAAGGAGAAGATGTCCATGGAGATCGCCATCCACCGCAGCCTCCTCCACCGGCACGTCGTCGGCTTCCACGGCTTCTTCGAGGACCCCAACTTCGTCTTCGTCGTCCTGGAGCTCTGCCGACGGAGGGTGAGCCCCCCCCCCAGGAAAAGGAGGAAGGTGGGAGTGTGGGGGGGGGAGAAGGAAGGAGGGGGGTGACAGCGCCAGGAAGGGGCAGGGCTCAGCTCCCCCCTCTGGGCATGTACAGAGCACCTCATCCCCTCCTCTTGGCTTATGGGGGGAAGAGGAACTTTCCTTCCCTCTCTCTTTTCCTTCCGTCTCTCTTTTCCTGCCTTTCTAACTTCCTCCTCTCTCTTTTCCTGCCTTCCTTCTGTCTCTCTTTTCCTGCCTTTCTAACTTCCTCCCCTCTCTTTTCCTGCCTTCCTTCTGTCTCTCTTTTCCTGCCTTTCTAACTTCCTCCCCTCTCTTTTCCTGCCTTCCTTCTGTCTCTCTTTTCCTGCCATTCTAACTTCCCTCCTCTCTCTTTTCCTTCTTTTCTTCTGTCTCTTTTCCTGCCTTTCTAACTGCCTCCTCTCTCTTTTCCTGCCTTCCTTCTCTCTCTCTTTTCCTGCCTTTCTAAGTTCCTCCTCTCTCTTTTCCTGCCTTCCTTCTCTCTCTCTTTTCCTGCCTTTCTAAGTTCCTCCTCTCTCTTTTCCTGCCTTCCTTCTCTCTCTCTTTTCCTGCCTTTCTAAGTTCCTCCTCTCTCTTTTCCTGCCTTCCTTCTCTCTCTCTTTTCCTGCCTTTCTAACTTCCTCCTCTCTTTTCCTGCCTTCCCTCTCTCCATCATCTTCCTCTTCCCTAGTCCCTGATGGAGCTGCACAAGCGCCGGAAAGCGCTGACGGAGCCCGAGGCGCGCTACTTCCTCCGGCAGATCATTCTGGGCTGCCAGTACCTGCACAGTAACCGAGTCATCCACCGGGACCTCAAGCTCGGCAACCTCTTCCTAAACGACGACATGGAGGTGAAGATAGGTAAGGAGGGTGGCCGCTCCCCCAGTGGGGCTGGCTGGCCTTTGGAAGAAAGGGCCCGTGGGACTGGACCCTCGTGAAGGCCACCTGTGCAAGGATATTCGTATGCGACCGCCTCCATCTCTAGCCCTTAACATTTAAGGAAGGCTAAATTCCGCCTCCCAAGACCTTGGAGGACTTTAAAGTGTGTCAGCCTGCAGCCTTTCCCCAAGCAGTTTTATGGCAAAATTTAGGAACCAAATGGGACAGACTGATGGGTTGGGGTCGACCTTCAGGGCCATCTCAGCCGCCGGAGCACCGCCTCTGTCAGGTCCAGGGAGGGCTTTGGCGAACAGGCTGCTTCTGGGAATGCCCGGAAGGTTGGGAGGGAGCTGGGCCCCTCCCCAAAGGCCTGGGAAGAAGGGGGGAACAGCCGTGGTCCTGCATCCACAGTCCCCCCCCCCCGGAGAGCCTGCAGGACTCCTGCCCGCCCGCTGGCGCTGGGGTCCCCTTTGGGCTGAGAGGCCTCCTTGTCCTGGCAGGTGACTTCGGCTTGGCCACCAAGGTGGAATACAACGGGGAGCGGAAGAAGACTCTCTGCGGGACCCCCAACTACATCGCCCCGGAGGTGCTTGGCAAGAAGGGCCACAGCTTCGAGGTGGACGTCTGGTCAATAGGATGCATCATGTAGGTTGAGAGGGAGGGGGCCTTTCCCCTTAAGACAACCCCCCCCCGGTCTCCCAGCCCTTGAGTGGGCTCCGGACTGGTCTTGGCTGCCTCTCCTTCCTGGGGGAGAAGGAAGGACCAGCGGCATTCCTTGGAGGTTGGGGACGGGGGTCTCCCAGGGTGATCTCTTGCTTTGTGGGGGTGGGTGGTCCCGCACGGAGGTGGGGGCAAGGCTCTGTGTGGAAGCCCAGCCCCTTTCCATGGTGGTCCTTGGGCTTCTACAGCAAGGGCACGTGGTGGGCCATTCACGGGAGCTGGGGAGGGTGGAAGTGTCTACGGATGCTCAGGGCTTGAGGGAGGAAATTGGGGGGGGGGGAAGCCCCACACCTGTTTCTGCCTCCGGATCTCCCATGAGATGCTGGGAAGAGCGAGGAACTCTCTGGACCTCCTGGGCTCTCTGTGTGCTTTCTCCGTGCAGGTACACCCTCCTGGTGGGAAGGCCGCCCTTCGAGACCTCCTGCCTCAAGGAGACCTACATTAGGATTAAGAACAACGAGTACACCATTCCGACGGTAGGGCTCTAGCAGGGGGGGGGTGGAAGTGGGTCGGCTGTCCCGGAGGCACCTGGCAGTGGTTTTGCGGGTGGTTGGCATCATGCTGGGGATCCACCCTGGGTCCTTCGGCAGTCTGGGTGGAGGGGCAGCACTCAGAAGGAAGGCAGCCCCCGGCCAGCTTCTCGGCTGCCGGTATGAAGGCGGACAGGATTCCGGAAGCCCAAACGCTGGTAAAAATGCTACAGATCCAAACCCACCAATCACAAAAAGCTAGTAAAGACCATGCAGGGCAAACACGACCCATTGAGTTATTTCCTCTTCTTCCTTGGAAGGTGTCTTTAATGTTGGAGGGACCCCAGGGTCTTGATTATCCCCTGCGGGCGGAGGGAGCACCGAGGGGGCTTCCTGGGGACCGGGCAGAGCCGCCCCTCTGGTCTGCCGACGGCCACGAAGGCTCCCATTCACGCCGGCGTCTCTCCTCCCCCAGCACATCAACCCCATCGCTGCTAGCCTGATCCGGAGGATGTTGAGGTCCGACCCGGCGGCCCGCCCCACCATTGACGAGTTGCTGAATGACGAGTTCTTCACGACGGGCTACATCCCTTCCCGGCTGCCCACCACCTGCCTCACCATGCCCCCCAGGTTCTCTTTGGCCCTCAACGGGCTTGATTCCGGTGGACGGAAGCCTCTCACGGTGGTTAACAAAGGTGTGTCCGGTGTGCCCACTGAGGTAGCATTTGGTGACCGGGGGGGGGAGAGGAAAGTGATGGGGCAGAGCCCCCGGGAGCAGGATGGCACGGGGTGGGCACCTTGTCGTAATGAACCCCTCCTTGTTTCCAACTTCCGCACCTCGGCCTCACTGGGTCAGTTTGCAAGGTGACTCTAGAGGTTTCCCCGAGGGACCTTTGGGGCCTCTCCCTCCACACATACACACACACTCACGCACCCAACCGGCTCTCTCTCCTGCCTCCAGGCCCAGAGAGTCCTGCGCTGGAAAAGGTCCCAGAGAAGGAAGAGGAGGCGGTCCAGCGGGACCCGGGGGATCCTCCAGACTGCCACTTGGCGGATCTGCTCCAGCAGCTGACCCTCGTCAACGCCGCCAAGCCCTCCGACAGGGCCCCGATCCGGCAAGGTGAGCGGGCCTTGCGGGCAGCCCCACAGGGCAGGGAGCCCTGCCGGCAGAGGGTTCCCTCTAGTGACCCCGCTTTTCTCTTGCAGAGGAGGCCGAGGACCCGGCCTGCATCCCCATCTTCTGGGTCAGCAAGTGGGTGGATTACTCAGACAAGTACGGCCTAGGTAGGTGGAGCCCCACAGGATGGTCCCGATCCCTGCGTGGGGCCGGCAGGAGGGGGCTGGGAAGTCCCCAGAGAGTCACCAAGCCCCCTCTCCTCTCCTCTCCTCACAGGCTACCAACTATGCGACAACAGCGTTGGGGTCCTCTTCAATGACTCGACCCGCCTCATCATGTACAACGACGGGGACAACCTGCAGTACATTGAGCAGAACGGCTCGGAGTCTTACTTCAACGTGCGGTCGTATCCGGAGACGTTCACCAAAAAGGTCTGTGAGTTTGTTGTGGGATCGAAGCCTGCGGAGGACGGAGGGAGGGGGTCAGTCCATGCCCACGGCTTTGCTGAGAGAGAGGCACGCGCCGAACTGGTCGCCCCCAGCCGGGGAGGCCGGACGTGCTCTCGGCTCATGGCCAAATTCCGCTGAAACAGCAAAGGAGCATTTGGGGGGCTTGGGAGCCCCCAAACTCTGTTCTCTGTGCCATGGAGGGGCAGCCTTTGTGTGCGCGCAGGTGGGTGGGTGGGGCTGAAGGGGAGGCAGGCATGGCTCCTTCACAACCTCATCTGGTGCCACATCCGGTGGAGGAGAGCCCTGGCCAAGTGCAGAGGGTAACCGGAGCTGGCGGAGTGAACCGGGCTCTCCTCTCTGGGCAAGGATGATCAGGGGAAACCCTTAGCCGGCGGCTTCCTGGGGGCTGCGCTGGCCTGGCCGGCTGCCTCCTTCCATGCCCGGCTGTCTTCCCCTGCCGTGTTCCACGATAGCCCCGTCACCGTGCCTCTCTGTTGCAGATCACACTGCTGAATTATTTCCAGAACTACATGAGTGAGCATTTGTTGAAAGCCGGGGCCAACATCACCCCTCGAGAGGGAGACGAGCTGGCGCGCCTCCCTTACCTGCGCACCTGGTTCCGCACACGCAGCGCCATCGTCCTGCACCTGAGCAACGGCACGGTGCAGATCAACTTCTTCCAGGTGAGGTCACAGGAGCCGCCCCGCCGGCCCGTCCCCTGCGGCCTGCCTTGGGGAGGGGCCGCTGGAGCTTTAAAGCCAAAATGCATTTGCCTGGGAGCAAAGAGGGCCACTGTGGGCTCTGGGCTCCGCCTGCCCCTCTGAGCCATTGTGTCACCGCTGGAGCCCAAGATCTGGAAATGAAGCCCCATGGGGGGGGGATGTCTGAGGGATACCTGCGGGGCAGCCACGTAGAGAACGGAGCCGGCTTGTTTGGCGTGGCTCCCGGGGAGTTGGGGGGGATGACTGAACAAGTGGAACGGCCACCCAGAAAGTAAATCTATTTGGTGACCGAATGGATTGCATTGGAAGGGGACGGGAGCTGCTTGGCTGGAAGATTTGTGACAGCCCCCCAGTGGCCGCCTTTATCTGTCCGCGAGGTCTTCCGGCACCATTGGGGGCTGGATCTGATGGCCTTTGGGGTTCCCTCCAGCTCTACAGTTTTGGGGTTCCATGAAACGGAACGAGTAAGAGCAGAAGGCCAGGGTCTCGGCCAAGGGCTTTCCCTTTGGCGGCTCAGAGGGGAGGCCGAGGGGAGGGGGGACCAGGCTGGGTGGCAGCCGCCCTGAGCCCCTTTCCTGCCTCTTGCCCGCCCCTCCCGCAGGACCACACCAAGCTCATCCTCTGCCCGCTCATGTCGGCCGTCACCTACATCAACGAGAAGCGGGAGTTCCACACCTACAAGCTGACCCTGATTGAAGAGTTCGGCTGCTGCAAGGAGCTGGCCAGCCGCCTCCGCTACGCCCGCACCATGGTGGAGAAGCTGCTCACCTCCAAGTCGGGCGCGGCCGGCCTGAAGCCTTCGGCCTGAAAAAGGC